TCACCCCAATGTCTCTGTATGGGGCTATTCTTACCACAGAATTTGGCCTTAAACTGGTAAATCACAGAGATTTATGAGTCCTGAACACTTCATACTTTTGGCTTGATTGTTCCTTACACAAGTAATTGACTGATGGATACTCTGCCCCGCTGTCTTCCTGCCAGCTTCTTTATTTTACGATCTCCATAAAAATCAGGAGAAAATGCAAACTGGAAAGATAACGCACAGAAAACATCCAAGCTATGTCACACTCCAGCCTTTACGCTTGCTTGAGTTCATGGAATAAAAGGAAACAAAAATGCAAGCACTTTCCAGTGAAAGGCTTGGTGCTGCCGTCTCGTGGGAAAAAGAAGAAGGGGAGCTTTGGTAATAAAAGCAGACATGAAAAACAGTCAAAAAAAAAAAAGAAAAAAAAAAAAGATTGTTAAAACCTGCTAACATCAACACTCCCGTTTTTGTTTCAAGACGGCTGTGTGCTTTATTGCTCGCAGATCAGTTTCCTTTGCAGGTGATGTGGGCCCAGAATTACATCACCAGCAGAGCAGCCAAGAGCATCTCCGTGCCAGGATGACCGAAGCCGAGAGGAATGTATTATCACAGACAGCCGAGGGACTTGCCAGTGCATTCCTTGCTGGGGGTGCTGTGATGGGGGAGGCAAAGAGGAGACAATTTTACGCAAAGACTGAAGGGAAACTTTGTGGAGGAAAGATCTAGGGTTATAGTCCTGCTGTCTCCTCTAAGCAGATCTAATTATGGCCATGTACTTCAAAAAGAGGGTTTAACTAAAACCAGATTTAGCAGGGCACTGCTTAGGAAGTACAGACTGAATCCTCGGCCATGCCTTTGAGGAAAACGCGAAATGCTTCAGTGCACCGGGAACAGTGTCGCTGTGGTTGTAAAGAATATGTAAAGAAGCTGCAGCAAGGAAAGCAAGAGCCAGTTTGAAATCCTCATCATGTCCATGAAGCCTTACAATAAAATGTGACTAAACATAATATCCATGCTTTCATACAGACAATACTTACATTAGATACCGGGTGTGTATTTACTGACACGTTGTGTGGTGGGGTAAAAGAGTCTCAGCAGTCTCAGGGATCATGCTGGAAATGATGAAATTACTCACAAAGCAGTTGCACAGATCTCCCTTAACAAGCTCCAATAAAGCCTTTCTGCCACATCACACCCTCTATTCGATAAACCAGGTCCCCTGCATATGAAAGAAACTCCCTCCTCCCCCCATTTTTGAAAGCTTTCAGGGTATTTCTCCCATCCCTTCTGCAGGACTGGCTCAGTGGTCCTCACCACAAGCCTATTTCTGAACCATTAAAATCAATGTGAGCTTTCCAATGCTTTTAATAGCAGCAAAATGTGCTGTCAACAAATTGGATTAAAAGAAGAGTACAAGACAAATTGTTCAGAGATTAGCACCTCTAAAAATGTCAGGATTATAAACCTCATCTCGTAGGCCAATCAAGAGGTTGAAGCAGTGCGGAAGTTACACAGAGCTCTCCCCTTTTCCACTAGAAGATAAAGCCCTGCTCATCAAATAAAAAAAAATAAATTATTGATCCTAGAGGTTTATTTTTTTCTTTCTTTTTTTCCCTCCTACAGTTTCCTAAAGAGGCGGGAGGGCTGAGACCAAGTAGAAAAGAGAATAACCAAGTACCACTCCACGTTAAGCTTTACATGAGAGCTTTTTGGGGCAGGAAAGTGCCAATAGCTGATTTAGCTGCAGCCAGCCCAGCCAGTGTCCCAGCTCACTCCCCAAAGCCTGGCTGAAGACCAGGAGGGTACCTATGCTGGGAGGACCAACGTTATCACTACAGCTCTCACTGCGTGGTTTCCTGCTCTTCGTCTGTCCAAATGGTAAAAATAGAAAATGCTGTCCCTAACTTTCAAAACATTCCCATCTTTAGAAACGATTATAGCGCACTGTTTAAAACATTTCAGCCACCATGTCTGTAGAAGCACCTTCCACTAAAAGTACTAGATTTCTTTCATCTCTGTCCGGCAAATGGTTGTCACTACTCTTTTCCTGTAACATGCCAAACTTTTCCACAACCTTTCTACAGCTTAATTGCACTTGGTGTTGTGGAGCCAACACCAACAGTCAGGCCCTCCAGCTTTCTCCATTTACTCCTCCTAGCTGTCTACATTTTGAATATCCCTGTGTACAATTTTCTCTTTTTATACTTTTCATGCATAATTATTCTTGACAAATCATGTTTTCCTGTTACTTCCTTCCTGTGCAAGGCTGACCTAATAGTCCCACATAGGGACTGTTTGCTTTCATATCATGTTGTTGTGGACGGCTTAGAGATAATGTATGAAAGTGTATGCAAAAAAATATTCCAAAGTAAATACATTAAGGGAGTGCTAGAAATGCATTAGAACTGAGGCATATTTCTGCTCTTAAGGAATTTCCCTTTTTATCTTGTTCAAACTTTCACAGGACAGCTAAAACAGATGTGGCCTCTAAAAGTTGGTGTGGAAAACGGTTAGGAAAGATTGGCAAAATACTGTAAGGAAAGAAATTACTTAGATCCAGGACAGAAATTATAACTGCTCTCATAGTACCAGACTGCGGTGAGATGGCTGTCCCTCAGGACTGTTCTTCCTCTGGCTCACCCTGTCTCATTAACATTATAACTGTGAGTGCAGTAGAGGGGCTGACGGTCAAAGTTCACCTCCGTGTCCCTTTTCTTTTTCATGGAGACTGCAAGTCTGTTCAGCTTTTAATAAAATAACTCTCAGGCCTCAAAGCACCACCGTAAAATATATTATAGATATAGTGGTACTTACAAAACAAGAATGCCTAGGCAGGACCCTGAGAAATGCCTTTGGGCGGGTCAGTTCTCTGACTCGTTATGCAGATTAAGTGATTATGGGAGTTTTTTGTATGTTTTAACCTATTGTAACTTAGTCTTTCCACTACAAACTCTTTCTTTTTTGATAAAAATCTATTGCTGATTGCCACTGTGGAGCTTTCCTGAGAAGTCATCCCATCACCCTCTCTTTCTCTGTGATACTACTTCCAGTTCTTAATACCTACAATGCTGTGGGTGCAGCCTCAGTTTCCTGTGCACTCAGCAAACAAAGACGAGGAATTAAGATCGTTTAAGATTATACACTAATGAGTGGTTTCCAGCCCATCCTGATTTTGCTAATTTGCTCTGCAAGTGATCTGGGAGGAGGACCCTGAGGGGGGACATGCATGCTTGGTTTTCTGTGTAGCTACGTGCCATGTTCTCTGCCTGGTCGCTGCTAAACTTGAAACGAATTTTCTCATTAGTGCCTTAGACAAACAAAGCAGATTAAATAGCAAACATCAGGTTTCTCGTGTCACTCAACATAAATCAAAAGGGCTTTGACATTGCAATTCTTCCCCCGCAAGCACCAGTACCCAGGCACTGGCTACTAAAGCCAGCGAATTTATTTGCTCTTGAAGATCTGCTTTCAACAGAAGTTTAAATTCAAATTCTCCTTTTTTTAATTGCTGTTTTTCCAAAAATTATAGAATGTAGAAAAACTAAAGTTTAAAAGACACAAAAGACCAGGAAGAGTATGAGAAAATGCCCACAGAGATGGGACTTGATATCTAAGAAGTAGTAATGCAGAGAGAGAGATGAGACAGAAAGTTTTTTAATCAATTCATTGAAGGAAGTCAGTTCAAAAGAGGTCATTATCTTGGGCTATTTAGTGGCCTTCATGAGTTTAGCTGGAATAATAAGGAGGCAACAACTGTAAAATTAAAGTGAATATAAAATGTAAAGACAAATGTAAATGGTATTTTAATACCACTTTTACTTTTGTAGCATTTTAGTTGCCTGCATGTCCACACATACACAGATATTTAGCAAAGAGAAAAACCAGCATCTATGAGAATCAGATGTGAAATTGCTCCTTATTTGGAAATACAACAAATTTTTTATTTTCTGCTAAGAGAATCAAATTGCTAAGATGCAGAAGCATTTTTGTCCTTTAAAGTTTGCCAATCAACCCAGGAAAACAAAGAGACAGAAAAACAGCAGCTATTAAACCAGGAAATATGGTCACTTTAGCTCATGTGCCACCTACTCAAAGCTGGCGCTGGACTGAACTCAGGAAATATGCAAAACAATTTAGCTCCTGGCTTTTTGCAAATGTCTGCCATCAGACTGTGGTTTCCTCAAAAGCATTTCTTCTTTGAACTTGTCTTAAGCATTTTTCTCAGAGCTTTTCTTTTAAAAAAACTTTGTGGATTGGTTTCAAGCAGTTTAGTATGAGCATGAAAATTTCCTGTTGAAAAACTGAGGCTGTTACCCTATGCTCATTCTTCACCTAAGGTAGGCACTTTTTCTTTTCTTAGAGATTCAGAGAACGAATTACTCCCACAAGAAGGAGGACAAACAATTGAAGAAAAAATCCCTAGAGCATATGAGCCTGTGAGATAAACACTGGAAACAGTCCATCGCAGGCTGGGCATGTTTCGTAAGACATGAAAATATTTTCTTCCAGGGGAACATAGATCTTGCCTGAGGCACACGTCTTCAAAAATATGAAAAATATTGTGAATGGTTTGTGACTTTGCAAGCTTAAATGTGAAGGGCATGGCAAAGTCTCTACCACTCTTGTGCCAGTATCCTAATGTGTGTTGTGGTTTTCCTTACACTGTCCTCCTGCTGTGACAAGCAGTGCCTTGTCCTTCACTAAATGCGGCGCTTAGCTAGCAAGCCAGCCCCACGTTTAGCCAACATAAATAACATCTGATCAAAAGCTACCAGGAGGTGAACCCAAAACGGGCATGAGTAATTCGAAACAAATTTGTTTCTTAATTCAAGCGCACACTACAGGAACATTCAGTGGTATTCCTCCAGCTCTGGACTTGCACAGTAATGTACTTACAAATAACGTGAGTGTACCGACATTTACAAATGGTTTACACATGGGTTTAGTGTCATTTAAACACAGAAAATATCAGTTTTTTGCTGAACCAACAAGCACTGGGAGATTGCAGATACTCTTTGCACCATCTCAGGTACTCACCTCTCCCGCTCCTGTTCCAAGAGGTTGGTAAAGTCATCGCTCTTGTTCATGTAATCTGTATGTTTATGTTTCTCATTTTCTAGCTCATAAACCGTGCGGCGATGGCACTTTTCTGCCAACAGGAGCTGTTCCAGCATGCGCCGATACGTCTCTTTCTGCTTTTCTTCAAGTCTGTCCAGCTGGATTGTAGGAAGGGAGAATAGACTCTTTTAAAGGTCTGCTTGCTTACTTCATCTGATTTATTAACCAACAATGTTGCGTTTGGTAAATGTGAGTCCCATAATTTTATGTCTTGGGCTTTACATAAAGCAGTGACTAGAAATAAGAGTAACTGTCCTGTAAAAGTAATGATTTATTTGGATGGCGTGTTTGCAATAAACATTTGCACAGTTCTCAGATACACAAAGGACAGAACTTTGCTTAGTTTTAGGGTAACAAATAATATTGTTGTAGCACAGAATTTCCCCCGTGGCAAGGTGCTGTGCACACTTCCCTTATTTCACAAGGTAAAAACTGTAGCAAAAGCCAGGGCAGGATACGTGCCCTCAGACCCTTGGAGCCTGAGTTCACACACCTATATGGGGACTAGACACATACACGTGGAGTGTAAGGTGTAAGCTCAAGGCTGAAATTTGAGTTACGCATCTTCAATGCACCTGTAGGGCTGCTGAGATGAAAAGTCTAAACTATTTAGGTTCAGCATAGATTCAGATTTACACTACCAAATACAATTCATTATAAGCCTTAGGGTTTTTCTCTCAGCCTATTTTTTGACAGAAATTTCTCTCTTCCTTTACGAGCAACACTTTACCTTTCGTGTCTTCTGTTTTTTTTTTTTTAATTAATTAAATATGCCAATTATTATTCAAAGAAACAGTAAGGCCAGGGAGATATGTCTGAAAAGTTTCCAGGACACATCAAAGCCACCACAGCTGTTCTTGTTTCTTCTTTCACTGTTCTTTGGGTGCAGATGGCAAAATCTGTCCTGCAGACAGCAAACTCCCCACTGAAGCTACCTGCAGCCCTGGCACTTCTCTGCTTGCCTGCCCCCAGCATGACAGATCCTGCTTTGCCCATCCCCAGCCCCTGCCTTGCAGGAATCGCATCTTCCTCAGCCGTGGCTGCACCAGGCAGTTGCTGTTTCACAAAGTGCCTCAGCAAACTGAGGGAAATAAGAGAGCAGGAGGACCAAGGCAATTTACTCTCCAGAAGTTGACCTTGGAAGTCAAAGTAAAACAGTCATTGCGTTTTTTAAAGGAGCCAGGTTGGATTCAGCCTTTGAGAGTAGATCTTTTGCACTTATGAAATTTTGTCACCATCCTATTTTAGCTCCAACATAATCCCTGTGGACCTACACATGACAAAAGTTTTACACTGATGTCCTCGTCAAATTATCAGCTTCTTTAGACAAAAGCCTTGCTAAGCTCTTTAATCTTGTTCAGTAATATTTTATGTGTGCTCCTAAATGCTAATGTTTGCTTTCCTTATTTACCATCATCCCCCAAATTCCAGAAGATGCTTCAATGAGAATATACAGTAGAAAGTCATCCCATGGTAGACACAATTACTGCTGAAAACCTGAATATTCTAATAGGAGGGATTATGAAGATTTGGACAGGCACTACAGTATATTATATTGTATGTGGTTGCATATTCCTTCTCCATGCCCTGGACTGTTATGACACTATAAACATAAGCAGTGGCTGCTTATTTTGGCATTCACGCTGGCCTCAGGCATTCCCAGGTCTATTCTACATTCATTTATTGCTTAAATTTTAAGGCAAGAGATCAAGTCCTACAGGTTTCCTTTAGGGGCTGAACTGACTTTGCAGTTCTAGAGCTTAAGTGACGTAAAATGATTACAGATTTGTGATTCCACAAATGTGGTCAAAGTCAGTCTCTGAAGGTCTTCTTTTCCTAACTGCCCACATGATAGTGTTCTAGTATGCCAAGAAAATCAAAGAGTGCTTACTAGTGCTGTGATCAGGAGAGCTTGGAGCCTATAATTGAAAGGAATTTAAAAACCAGAAATGTTACACCCACAGATTTTGTTCTCACTTGACAGCACTAGCCCTAAGGAGCGTACAAGCTCTTTATTGTTTGTGTTCAAACCCAGTGATTTTGCTTAAAATTCATTCTATGGTTGAGTGAACAAGAATATTATTCTTTTTTCTTCAATTTCTTGTAATTTGTAGAAGCACTGTGTTATCCTCTTGCATGCTTTGCACACATGCAGAGTACCTGAGTCTTACTTCTGGTTATGATTCCCCTTCTGCAGACATAATGATGTAAATCAAGAACTTATTACCTCTGAAATTGGTTTTTCATAGACGTCTTCCCCTATAGACTTTTCTTGGGCAAGGATGGCATCCCTGTGTAGCACTCGGAGCACGTTCTCTGGAGCTGCAGACCCATAATGAGCTTCTAAAGCTTCAGGTTTGGTTTTCTCTGTCTTCAGCATGTGGATCACATCCTCCCTTGCCTGTAACATTGCAAATCAGTACCATAAGCCAACCTACCAACCAACAGGGAAAACAGGGAAAATAGAGGCATTTCATATATATGGACTGCATATAAAAAAATAAAATAAATTAAAAGAATGCAGGCTGCCAATGCAAATACAAAAACTTTGGTAGATATCAGAATAAAGATGATCTGCACAATCCAAATGTGCTTCTTGTAGGCATTAATTATTCTATTCCTGCCTGTCATTACATTTGAATGCTATGAATTTTTACCTGGGATGTGACTATAGCCAGGGAACATTTTAGGACTATGCTGCGGACAAATGCTTAATCCTAAGCTCTGTTCCTAGTAATACTTGCCAACATCTGTTAAGCCATCTGTAAAATGGGGGCAGGACACTTGCTTGTCCTTCGAGGCAGGCTTATAAGGCCATGATCTAGGGAGTGGCTGTAAAAGGTACAAGTTTTGGGTGGGCACAAGAGAGCTCCCAGGTTTTCCCTCCTCTTCCACAAGCCCAAAGGGATGAGGTGCAGAAGGATACAGGCACCAATTTTTCTCTCGCCTGCCCTTGTGAGCTTGGGAAGCAAATGAAGAGCTAAGGAAATGTTCAGATATTTTAGGAAAAATCCCTTACAAATCCTGCCCCTATGTAAGGAATGACTGTGTAGGATTTATGAACTGACCAACACTTTTCCACAGTGTTCATAATGGTACTCTATATTATCCCTGTAGCAAACCTTAAATCTTTAACCTTTACCCAATACCACAGAGGCATCGCAGGTCTACAAAACCACCTGCTTTTAAAATGAGCAAGGAAATAATTTCAGGAAATGGCAAAGACTCTTGAATCTTTTTTTAAAATAAAATAGGGTAACATGAAAATAAAACAAAGAACTAACTTGAGGCAAAGATCATGCCACTCAATTGAGAACTGTCCCACTTAAAACCAGCTAGCTATAGGGTCTTACTCTATATAACATTTTGTAAAAGCTTTGGGCACGTCTGCAAGATACAGACTACAGACTGGAATGGTATTAATGGTTCTTCAGCACAAATGTGGGAAAGGTGCATCACTCATGGATGTCAAAACTACAAGTGAATTATGTGGGCTAGTCCCAAAGAGTGCCAAATGCGACTGTACACCTCACTACATCACGTCCTGCGAATACGCCACTCTCAGTACAGGAAAAATATTATTTTAGGAAAGTTTTAGACAGGTTCAAGAATATATCATTTTTTATAACCGTGTAGAAATAACAGTTATCTTAGCATCCTCGTTACTATGAGGCCAATGCTTCTATATTGAAGAAAAAGCCATAAAAAGTCTACTAGGATAGCACGGGAGTTTTGAGGGATTTACAAATATCATCATTTAATGGCATGCTGTCTCAGGCCTTTTTAGGAAGAGTCAGCTTTTGGGCCATATGTGTGCCCTCCCTCGATGAACAAATTCGGCGTCCCAGTGTGTGCCTTGCAGGAGGGGCAACATGCCACAGGTGTGCTCAGGGAGAGCGCTGTGCAGAGGGGAGCACTGAAAACAGCAGGATGAGGGGGCAGCCCTCTTCCGCCCCATGCAACCAAGCATGCTGAAGCCTCGATTCATTTTGGTCCTGAGCACACAAGCTTCAGCCCCCACACAGCCCGTTCCTCAGGGACAGGGACACCTAGGACCTTGGGCTATTCTGCAGAGGAGGAAGATGGGTTCATTCTCTCCCATTGAAGCTTTTGGGCCCCAAACGACATAATTAAACATTGACAGGGACAGGCAGAGCAAATAGGGACAACTCAGGCTTGGTGATTTAACACTATGACTTGGGAGAGCAAAGAGCTGGAGTCCTGTCCCTGCAATGGTTATTTAATAGAGTAGTAGCTGGCAGAGGGACCGAACGCTGCTCTTCTCAGTGAGTGCCTCAGTCCATGTTCAGTTGTCCGCTGCCGTGCATACTTTCCTTCCAGCCTCATTAGTCTTTAACCATTGACAATTAAAGCAGAGCAACTTTAGCAGAAGGGAATGGGAGTCCCTGAAACAGCTTATAACTTGTCAGCTAAGAAAGGTTTCTGGAAGCTGTGGGTTTGGGTCCCCCGAGAGCCAGAGGGAGCTGAGACAGGGAAGTGGGTGATACTGAATGGAGAGACCAGCACCTCAAGGAGGAAAGAAGGTGCCCAAGTTCAGAGCTTTGAAGGAAACCCCTATTCATTGCTTCATCTTTAAAAGGAAGCAGTGACAAACTTAGCTCCAGGAGGCAGAGCAAGGGTCTCAGCCCTAAAACCCCTCACTGCAGTCCAAGGGGAGGGTACCCAGACCAGGGACAGGCTTGATGGCACCATCCCCAGAGCACAGGCAGCTTCCTGCTCGTGCACCCCTTCTTGGGCACCCCACAGCCTGCAGGCACTCAGGATCTGGATCGTGTTAGCATGGCAAGGTGCCTTCTGCCTTTTCAGGGCTTGGCCATTGCTCCTGTCATTATCTTTTCAAGGGTATCAGCTAATTCACCAAGTACTCTGTTTCCATGGACTTATGATAACAGTTTGTGAAAAGCAAACTAACAAACAGACACTCAGGTTGCTAGGAAGCATTGGACCAAAAAAGGGACTTCGTGCTAATAATAAACGGGAGAGAAATTTGCTTTTATTTGGTCAGCAACAAGCCCCAGCATAGGAAGATTCTGAAGTGCAGCTAGCCTAGGTCAGAGAGGAGCCCAGGTGACATCCTGACCTCTCATCAGCCTCAGGATTTGCAAACTCCAGTTAGTCTCACTGAAACTCCTTAGGATAAATATAGAGCAAAGGAGCTGAAACAGAAGGGCTGTGTAACCCATGATTTCATGTTTCCTCCAAACGATTAATTCTCCTCTGAAACAACTAGAAGACAGCTCACATGAAGATGGTTTTTTTCAATGTATAGTGAACAACTATTATTATATTAAACCACACGATACAGACCATTTTCAGAAAACAAGTCAGAATAATCCTGTAGAGGAACACTTGGGCTACTTCAACACACATACCTGGAAAGAGGTACAAGAGGCTCAAAGTGGAGAGTCCTAGCTAAGAAGAGGGAACCATACTGGTAAGCTGTTTCTACTCATGGACATCTACTGTAGGTGCCTCCCTTGTCTCAAAGAACAATGCTGTTCAGCATAAATTATAAGCTAGGAGACAAACACAAGGAAGAGATTTCGAATTGGAAGTAAACTTGTATATAAATCTCAAAGGAAAGCTGTTAGCTGTTTTCACAGAAGGAGCATGGTGTTTGGCACGGGAAAGCCATCTTTCAAGTCCTTTTTTTTGTTTTGTTGGTGCTCTGATGAGAGACATTATTCAGGCATGAGAAGACCACGTATTGCAACAGCTTGTAACACAATGAAACTTATTTGCGTAAGTCCAGAAGACTGCAATTAGTCAGAGAAGCTCTTTAAAGTCCAAATACAGAATTTAGAAAACACGCACATTTATTTTGATTGTTTTTTTCTTTACTTAAATTATCCTACAGAAAAATCCAAGCTTTCTATTATACTGTTCAGATTGTGGGTTCTTGAAAATAAACAGACTTTTCTGTTAATAAAGTTCCCCCAAAGTACCTGATTCTTGAAACAATAGCAGCAATAAAGACAGATTAATGAAGAGTCCACTTTTACCTCTTAGTAATACCCTCAAGGCAAGAAACACAGAAGGCCAGATATGTTGAGAGGTGTTTTTCCACACTCATTTTCTCCAGGAGCAAAGCCTGCTTAGAGACTCCCTGTAAATCAGACTCATAGAACCATAGACCAAATAGAACAGCAAAGGTTGGAAAAGACCTCAAAAGATCATCTGGTCCAATCTTTTGTGGGAAAGTAAGCCTAGATGAGATCATCTAGCACCATGTCCAATTGCATCTTGAAAACTTCCAGTAATGGGGACTCTACCACATCCATAGAGAGGTTGTTCCAGTAATTGATTGTTCTCACTGTAAAAAATTTATTTCATATGTTGAGATGAAACCTCTACCAGTGCACTTTATACTCGTGGCCCCTTATCTTCTCTGTTCGGCTTCTTGTGAAGTGTCAGCCTCCATCTTCTTTGTAGCTGCCCTTTAAGTACTGGAATACTGTGATGAGGTCCCCCCAAGCCTTCTCTTCTCCAAGGAGAAAAGATCTAACTCCTTCAGTCTTTCGTCATAGGGCAGGTTCTCCAGCCTTTTGATCATCTCAGGGCCCTGCTTTGGGCCCTCTCCAGTCTGTCTGCATCTTTTTTGAATTGTTGGGACCAGAACTGAACACACTACTCAGTTAACTCCTTTGGCTGTCTCTGCTGATAGAGGAATTGCAAAGTTGAACTGTTTCTAAGCCTCGTTTCATGCTTACTGGAGCTGCCAAAATCTAAAGGCTGGTCACCTGAGATCTCGAGTATGTCCATGGTGGGGCTGAAGTGCCATGGAGCACTGCTGTCCCATACAGATTTGCCTGCTCTCCCTTCCCTTCCTTGTACTACCCAGTGATTAGTGCACTTACTTAAGACGTGGGGTCTGTGTTTCTACCTGGGAAATATGAATTCCCCAAGACAATGCTCCCCTCCCCTGAGGAGAGCATGCTAGCCACCCAGCTAGAAGGCTGACGTGAGGTCACTCTTTGCAGGGTTACCCTGAAATACTCATTTTTCAGCAGAATAAAAGAAAAGGGCTTTCTTTTGCTTGCTAGCTTCAGCAGAGCATGGGTCTGAGTTCCAAAACTTGCTTTACTGCGTGCCTAGTAAAATATTTAGGTGATATAGAAAGGATGTAAAGAGGTCCTTGCATAAAACTGAAACCATTTAGGAAACAATAGCATGACTCTGCTGCTTGTAAAAAGGGACTGGCAGCCTAGCAACGAAATTCTTGGTCAATGGAAAGACTGTTACACAAGCCCAGCGTTCGGGTGCTTCTTCCTCGTGCCCTGCCCTGCCAATTTACTACAGCACTCTCTCCCCATTCCCACAGTCTTTGGCCTCTCCCATGAGACTCTTAACAAAACTCAGCACCCACTAAATGGGGAATTT